CCCGGCCCGAGCTGAGCTGCCAACAGGTGGTAGGATGGCTCAGCTAAAAAAAAAAGAAAAGAAAGAAGAAGAACCTAGAGACTTCAGTTGATTTAGCAAATGAAATCAAGCCTTTTCAGAGCTGGGTTGATATAGAGCAGGGATAATGGGGTTAATGGGTGGCAAAATCACATCAGAGAGGTCTATTTCATATCTTTAGGTAAAAATAACACAGTAGAGTAACAAATTGTTCTGTGAGGGACAACAATTTACTAACCCTAGTGACATGTCAGCTCAGGTGGTGGGTCACTAAGCAGTATTCAGTGCAGTTGGGTAATAACCACTTATGAGGATTGCTGGGCTCTCCTAAACCACTGTTTCAAAATATATTACCTAAAGCAGTAGTCTCATGAAGTCGAATAAGTTTGGGAAATGGGGTTGTCACCTCTTAGAGATTCAAAATGCAAATTAGGATATTAAAAGCTCTAAGAAGTCCAGTATAAAAGCCTGTTTATCCACCATTTTCTAACCTTTCTGACTGTTGACATATCCTCTTGAGAGGCAAATGTCTATTTTGCAGCTACTTTCTGTGTTTTATAGATGTATCTAATGACAAACTAATGCCCTAACATTGGGTAATTTTCCAGGGTTGGCATTATCAGGTAGGAGATAATCATTAACAGTTATAAGATTTCACGTTGTTACTACAAAGCGTTTTCCTATTGGAATATGCCCTGTGACAGAAGGGTGTCCATGAAGGTGACTTCGTTTGGAGTAACCTTAAAATAAGGACAGCGTATAATGAAAAGTAAAATGGGAAAGATAATTTCTAATAGGCAGGAATCATTGGTGTCAAGGAGGTTGTTGGAACATCAGAGTTGATTTTATGATTCCTGTGTGTTTTAAACACATCATCGTTGACAGAAACCCCTCTCTAGTCAAGGTGACCTTGCATGTTGCCAAATCCAGTGGTTGATGCTTAGTCCTCAGTGATGGCCACACTGATTACTTCCTCCTTAGATGCTCTGCACTTTCCTTGCAGAAAACCCGTATTCTCTCCTGAACCTCCTCCTACTTCTCTGGCTTCTTTCATTTGTTTTCCTGGACTCTGTTCTTTTTTCTCTCAGAAGAACCTCAGAGTTCTATCAGTCTCTCTGTACACTCACTCCCTAGGTGGCCTGGAGATATAAATTTTGTGGTCACATAAATATAGTGTTTTTATTTATATCTCCAGGCCAGTGTTTTAAGCTCTAGACTTACATCCACTAGCCAAGATAGCATCATAAAATGAGCATGTCTGAAACAGAATTCTTGAGCGCCCCCATTGTCTTCCAGTGTTAAAAGTCCTCATCATTCATACACCTGGTTACTCAAGTCCGATGCCTTGGGGTCAGCCTCGATCCCCATCTTCTCTACACCCCACACCTAGCTCATTAGCAAACTCTGTCAGTTGGACTTTCAAAATAGATCTTGAATCCAACACTGTCCAAGCCACCATCTCCTCCATAGTTTATTGCAATTATACCCTTACTTTTGTCCCCAATTTCATTTTTGCCCGTGTTTTCTCCACACAACAACCGGAGTATCACTTTTAAGCGTGTATATCAGATCATGTCCCTTGCCTGCTCACAACTCTCCTCGTAATCTTATATAACGCGAAACAAAAAAATCCACACCTACCATGGCTTATGATCTGGTCCCTAGCTTCTACTCCAGCCTATTTCCTGCCACTCTCCCCATCCCTCACTGCACTGAAACCACACTGGCCTGCTTGCTGGTCCTCAAATGCTACAAGCATATTCAGGCTCAGGCCTTGGACTTGCTGTGGCCCCTGCCTGATACGATCTTTCCCAGGTACTTGCTCCAGCATATCACGTAGGTTTCTGCACAAATGGCCCTCCTTAGAAAGGCCTTCCAGATCACCCCTTGACGTTCCCTATTCCCACCCCGCTTCCCTGCTTTATTTTTCTGGATGGCACTCAATTATCACTCACCCGTGGCATGTTATCTGTTTACTGTCTCTTGTCTTCCACTGCAGTGTAATCTCTGAGGCAGAGACTTCCATCTCATTTTCTGCTGTGTCGGCACCTAGATCCAGGCCTTGAGCATAGCAGGTGCCCAATCAATTGAGTTAACTGAATAAATGAATTTTCTCAAAGACCTTTTTGTCATGATGTCTTCCTTTAGTGAATCTGGTATACTGATGAATGAGTTAGACTCCCACATCCTAAGAACAGAGGGAAATCTGGGAACAGGGTGACTCCACAGCACCCTGAAATGTCAAAACTCTTTAAAGGAGGAGGTCAGGAAAAAAGCCGTACTTGCTGTACAACCGACTATGCAGTGTGGTATGAAAACCTATCTGCCTTCCTGTATTCTGATTATGTGTAAGAGGGAACAGTGGGTTCTCAGTCCTGTCGGTGAGAGTTTGGTTTCTTCTAAAATATCAGCCATGTGGACCCACAATATGAGAGAGACGTGTCTTTGGGGAACATTTGGTCATTTGTTTCTGGGCTTATATAAAAGGAGCAATTGTCTTGGATAATAACACGCTTACTCAATTTTAAAATATTTTATTTTAGAAAAGGCACTCTTAGATTTGTTTCAGTCTTACTGTTTATATTAAATTAATCACGATTACCTTAGATATAGCCATTAATTCTTCCAAATCTGTATAAAAAGGTTGTTTTTTTGAAAAACCACAAGAAAAATATAGCTGTTTTCTTCTTGCCCAGGTCAGTTACTCACTACAGGTAGGTTGCACATTTAAGTTTGGCTGGTATCTAATACTTTTAAGTATTTACAGACATAGTGAAAAGTATACCCCTAGGCCACCAGTTTCAAAAGAATTTGGATCTGTTTGAATTACAATAAATATGTACCAAACATAATGAACAATTTCTAAGCTGCTTATAAGGAGGTTTTAAAAATAAAAATTGCTAACATTTATTAAGCAATTCCTATGTCAGGCATGTAATAATTGCTTTACACAAATTCACTTAATTGTTTCAGAATTCCTTTGAGGTAGGGTAAGGGTTTTTGAAATGTCACTTTGCAGATTTTTTAAAAAGCGAGACTAGAACAGCCTCTGTGATCTGCCCAGGACCACAGAGCCAGAAGGTGCATCCAGTGCTTGAAGCAGGTCTCTCAGCAGCCAGATTGTCATCACCACACCTGCTGCTGGCAGATGGCGCTGGCTTCGGTGACAATACCTACAGTTCCAGGATAGACCTTTTATTTTTATTTATTTATTTATTTTAGCTGAGCCATCCTGCCACCTGTTGGCAGCTCAGTGGCTGCTCAGCTTGGGCCGGGACTCGAACTGCTGTTGCTCAGAGCTCAAACTCTTGAGCGAGCTCTTAACCAACTGAGCCACTCGGCTGGCCCATACAGGATAGACCTTTTAATGCTGGGCACGTGAACCACACCACTTGGACAGATTGTTGAGAATCATGGTCCACTTACTTTTTATACGTGTCCATTTGTATATACACAGAGAAAGCGCAGGTAAACTAATATACAAAAGTCATTGTAATAGCCATTTTACAACTTACAGTAGTCTCAGCCCTCTTCCTTCTTTCCAAGTTACCGAGTTTGCTTCTCTCTGTATTACTACAGGATTTGCTCTGGACAGGAGCTGTTCTTACTCCTTGACAGACAGGCACTGCTTTCAGTTTGCTGCACAACTTGAGTTGTTCAGTAGTCCTATTTTTGTTAAAGAGGCATCCTCGTTTTATCGTGCCTCACTTTATTGCGTTTCACAAATGTTGCATTTTTTTTTTCTTTTACAATTTGAAGGCAAGACCCTCCACCAGCGAAAGGATTATGACTCGCTTTATTGCGATACTCTATTGCAGTGGTCTGGAACTGAACCTGCAATAAATATCCTTGAGGTATGCCTGTAAAGTTTTTTTCTCTATAGGAGATGCAAAGTTTAAATTAGACATTTTTGAGAAATTCTTAGTGATGTTTTTATGACTTTTATAAGCTAGTCAATGTCAGTAAAGAAAAATAGAACATCCCATTCTCCCTGGCAACTTCTGGACCAATTAGCATGGATTACTAGCAGGAGTGTGCTGGTAAAAGTTTAACAACTGGCTCTCGGTGGGGCGGGGGAGGGCGTGATTTGTAGCTTTTGCCAGTTTCTGTGGTGTAAATATTCCCACCATGTCTGTTCTCAAGCCACAAACATGTTATCACTAAACGTGGAATTGAAAGAGATGCACGGAAACATTCCTTTATATACACACACACACACACACACACACACACACATATATACACACACACATGTATATGTGTGTATATATATATATATATACACACATGTATATGTGTGTGTATATATATATATATATATATACATATACATGTATGTATATATATACACATATACATATATATAATTTCCACCATAGATACAATAGTCATAAAACCACCTCAAGAGCATAGATGTAGAAAAATTAGGAAGTAATGAGTTTTGAGTAGCTATTACCTTTGCTTTTAATGTAATTTAATTATAAGTTTCTATAATTTAATTTTTAATAATGGCTGCCTTTAACCACCAGCTCTCAAAATGAAATTTTAACAATCCGCTTTTAGAAGCTGATGTGAGCTAACTCCACATACCACCGAATTAGCATCCCCAAGATAGCAAGATTCAACTTTTCCTTTTGCTATTTTAGATTATGATGAACTGATAGCAGCAGGAATTGGAGGGGCTTTGGACTATTAATAAGTAAAAAGCACAAAAATCCTATGAGCATGCCATGGAATAACTTGGGGTTTGTTTTGATTAATTTAAAATATATCTACATATAGCAATGATGACTCAGCGTTACAGTTTCAACCTATTTTTTCAAACTTCAACTAAGAGTGATCAAACCCAGGGTATGACCATGTAGGAGGGACCAGTGAAGAAGCCGATGGCTGTCTCCTTCCCATCTGGGCATCCTGGATAGCTCATAGCAAAAGTCTGAACCAGGGAAGAGGAAGGTAACTTGAATAGCCAGGTAAGCGTGTAATGATTTGCCCATGGAGGACCCACATACCAGAACTCAATTTAATTTCTTCTACACAAGTATTTAGTGGGGAAGACTTGAACCAAAGCGTGGCGAGATTGCCTCCACGGCCACCCCAGCTTTCTTCCACATGTTGGCCTCTGCCGGTGCTCATGAGGCTGGATGTCTTCGCCTGCCTCCTTCACCCAGCTTTACCTCTGGTAGCGCTCCGAGCTTTCCATTCCAAGTGGTTTGTCCTGGATAGGCTCTACAACAGGAAAAAACAGGCAGCACGTTTCAGCACCTCTGATTAAGTTGCAGTAATCATCTGAGAGCTTCCCTGGGCTTTTTTTTGTTTCTCTGCCGCTCTATGGCTCCTCAGGGAGCCAAGTGAAAAGTCAGACCTACTAGTTCTGGCAGACGGTTGGAGGCAGTCTGTTGAGACTAGTATCTAGGGCTTGAGGAATATGTGTTTCTTTTTGTCTCCCACAAATAAGGAACTCATTAAGTGTTACTCATTTGATATTCAGCAGATATTTCATGCACGTGTGGCCTAAATGAAGGATCTGTGCTGAGCGCTGGGCTAGACGGCAAGCAGCTGGCACCTGCCACCTCAGAAGTGAGACGAGTTAGTGCTGATTGGGGGCCCCATTGTTCTTCCGGGCCTTTAAACTGATTGTTTAAAGGGTGCATGTGTCCACCTGCTGAGAGAAGACTGGGGCCTATTCCTTCAGTCTTAACTTTCTTTGGAGAGGACGAGGGCTGTGCCTGGGCACCATCTCTTAAGAACTGGCTACGTGCACAGCTGATACGGCTGTGGGGCCTTTGAGAGCTCTGGGCAGAAAAGCAGGGGAGGGCTCAGGGTTATGAAATTAGCGTTGGGGTCTCCAGGAGCGTGACTATTCTTAGGTAGTGTCTCTGGCCTGAAGGACTTTTGGAAAAAGAGACCTGGACTAGAATCAAAATCCTAAACTGCGAAGAGATGGCCAGTGAGGCTGCTGGGCCGAAATCTGGCCAAGGAGGAAGGCCCAGCCTTTCAGTGCCCTGCACAGGCTGGAAAGAGTCTTGGCGCATGGTCCCATGGCACAGTGGGTTGCCGGAAGCCGAGTTCACATCCATGCCCCTCTCCTAATAGAGAAACCATGAGTCAGCCTGTCCAGGTCCCTTCTGCCCTAACAGCGCAGCACAGACAATCGCATGGCAAAGCAGGAAGAAGGGAAAGGAAGCTGTAGAAAAATAAACATTTCCTTGCATTTTACTTGGACTAGACCAGCACGGGTGGCGCGCTAAGACCCACAGCATCGCCCACATCCTCCCCCGGCTCTGTTTTTTCCCTCTTGTGCAGAAACAGATTCTTTCCTTACCTGATGAGCGTCCATGGTGCATCCTGTGGAAAAACAGGAGCAAGATGTAGAAGGTAAAAGCCAAGCAACCAAAGATCACGCCACAGACCAGGAAACTGTAGCTGCCCTGAGCCTGGAATATCTGCCAAAGAGGAAAACACAGACACAGGCCATCAAAACCTCACATGAAGATGTATGGGCGGAAGCGGCCTGCTCGGCCTTTGGCAGGGTTTCCAGTCAAGTTGAGGACCGTCATACCAGTAGATAGAAACATGGGTAGGAGGGAAGTCTTGGCCTTGTTTCAAGGATATGTTTCTGCAGGAGGCAGAAACCCTGCTCTAAGGTGACCCCTGCAGTCCCTTTCGGCTCTATGGCTGGAACCTGCAGAAAAATCTCCCTATCTGCCTTAAAACTCCAAACATACTAGGTGCTTCTCTACCCACAAGGCCTGACCAGAACTTTGCAGAGAAGATATATATATGTATATATCTTTAACCTTTTATTATGGCAAATTTTAGATATTTGCCAAAGTAGCCTATGGAACTCCCATGGACCCATCACCAACTTTAGCAGTTAGCACCAGTCCCCCCCCCACCCCCACCCTGAGTTACACGGAAGCACATCCTTCTGTCTTGGATGCAGAGGGCATATGTAGCTCTTCCCCCGCCCAGCAAAGCACAAGCAGAAGAAAGGAGAGCAGTGAGGAGGGGCATTTTGGAGGCTGAAAGACCTAGGTTTGGACATCATCCCTGTCAGCTGTTAGAAGTGTGACTGACTGAGGGCAAGTCACTTAATTTATCTGAGTTTCGGTATCCTCCTCGGTAAAAAAGGGAATGACAGTATCTAAATAGTCTTCAGTGAAAAGTAGACATATTTTTGTTTCCCCTGTGAACACATGATCCGTGGGTATATTTTACAAAAACGGGGGGAGTTGGCCTGTGATCAGGGCAGGAGTTTGGCAGGAAAGCTGGGCCCTTTGCAGGGTGGCCAAAGGCTCACAGGAGGTGGGATGAGGGAGTGGCAGGTTGAGAAGAGATGGAAAAAGAATTCTGCAGTGCAAACCCATCCCAGGCTTGGGAGCTAAACAACATTCCCACAGGGCCCCTCTGGCCCTGCTCCCAGACATGACTTGTGTTTGCTTTGGACTAGCACATCCCTTCCCAGCTCCAGGTCCCCCATTTGGAGGCTCAGCTTTCAAGGCTGGCTGAGAAACGGAAACAGGTAACACAGACAGTGGGGCCCTGCTTGCCTGGGTTCACAAGGTGGCTGGCCGCACTCTTCCCACCAGCTTGGAGGAGCGCTTCCCAATTCATCTCCCCTCCCCGGAGAGTTTCCCACATACCCAACCAACCAGCATCTGGAGGGACATCTCGCCAAGTCCTGCCCCTGTCACCAGCACTGTGGTCGCGCAGCCTACCCAAAAGAGAAGGATTTGGTTTAGTAAGAGCAAGTTGAGGAGATAAAAGTCATCTGGCGTAATCTAGGTTGTTTCTGGGAAGTCTCTGGAAAATGACATGGCTGCCTAAGAGGACTACTTGGGATTCCGAAGATTTCTCAGACTTTAGCTCTTAACTTTGCTTTGGAAATGCTTAGGTCCTGCTGTCATTAACGTTCCTTCCTTATTCTGAAACCTTCAATTGCTCATGATTGTCTTCCTGGTAAATTCCAAGTTACTTAGCCTGGCATTCAGGTCCGTTCCCAATCTGAGCACCACCTACCTTTCCAGAAAGATTTCTTGATCTCCTCAGGCCAGCCCTCTGCTCTGGGCAGAGCATGTCCTCACTGCCTGGCATTGCCCAGACCAGTCACACCTCTCATCAATCTGGCAACATGGCACAGACCTTCAGAGCCCAAGCTTCAGAGTCAGACTTGGGTTCCAAGCCCAGCTGTGTCACCTACTAGCTATGTGACCTTTGGCAAGTTCTCTCCCCTCTGTAGGACTTGGTTTCCTTCTGTCAAGTGGGCACCACAGCACGTCTTTCCCAGGATTGCTGTGTGGATAACTGATGCGATCCATGGAAGTGCTTAGCTTGATGCTGACACACAGTAAACCCTTGAAACCAGGCCAGTTCTCTGCTGAAACCCATCAACGCTGCCTTCAGGATAAAGTCCAAATGCTTTCATGTGGTTTCCAGGGCCCTTCATAATCTGCTCCTGTTGAGAGCTCAGACTCATCCCTCACACTTAACTGCTCACAATCTCCCCTCCTGCCAGGAGAAGCCATCTTCAGTGTCCCAACCCACACACTCTCACCACCAGGTCCTGACACGTGTGTTTGCTCCACCTAAAGACTCCTCCTCCTCTTTGTCTGTTAAACTCCTGTTCATCTTTTAAGCCCTAGTTTAGATTTCCATCTGTAATCTTTCCCCACCCCCAGCCCTAAACCTGGATTAGTTGCTCCTCTTCTGTGCTCCATCAGCCCCCTGCACCCCACTCACCCCACTGTCCGTATACTGGGCAGCCTTCCCCATAAGATGTAAACCCCTGAAAGAGGACTGTGCCTTGAATTTTAGTTCAGTGGCATATACCACTGCTTATTATCTGCAAGGTGACCAACAAATGGTAGACACTGAGTGTTTTTTGAATAAAACAGATCATTTCTACTTTGGGCTTGAAGTCCCTCTTACATTTATACCCCTGTGCCTTTGCTCTCACACTGGTCACTGCCCCCGCCCACCCTTCCCTGGCGTGCCTTTCATTGTTCTTTCTGCCTTTCCAAAATCTGGGCCAGCTCACACCCCATCTCCTCTGTGAAGCTACTTCGAGATTCAACACTGGTTACTCCCTTCTCTGAATTCCAATGGCACCCACTGTCTACTCCACTCATTTATTCAAAACCATTCCCGTACCTTCTGTGCATCAGGTACTGTGCTAACTACCTGTGGGGTAGTTAAGCTGCTTTACCTTTTTTCTAAAGCACAAAACAATCCTGAAAAGTAAGTATTTGCATCCCCATCTCAGAGAGGGGAAGGAAAATGAATCACACAGGGTCACAAAACCAGAGAGTGTGGAGGCAGGACTGATACTCAGGTCTGCTGATGACCTCAAAGCCCTTGCCCTTGTCCCTTGTCCCTCGCTGGTTCCCACAGGGAGTGTGTTCTCAGGAGAGGGTACAGATAACAGAGGTACAAAAGCCTTGAGGGGGGTGAAACACGAGAGGCAGGTACAAAGGAAAGGGCACCTTTTCAGTAAGGATCAGAGAAGCTTCTCTGAGGGTCGGAGGAGGAGGGGCGGGGTGGAGGGCATTCCAGGCAGAGGGTTTACCATGTACCAAAGTGTGGAGGGATGGAAGTTAGTGCGCCATCGGGAAGTCGCCAGCTAGAATGCCAGCTCTGAAATTCCCCTCTGAGGGTGGGAGGAGGCCGGAGAGAGGAAAAGAGCTTCACAGGAAGACATGAAGGGCAGGATCAGGTATGTTTTAAAGCTGTCCCTCTGCCACAGCTCCAAGGATGGCTCCGTAAGTGGTCCTCACCCTGGCTCCATGTTAGAATCACCCAGCAACTCCGGACCAATTATTGTACATCAGACTTTGTGGAGACGAGGCCCAGGTATTGGGTTTTGTTCCAAGTGCCCTAGGTGATTCTAATGTGGAAGCAGCGTTGAGAACCTCTGATGGAGACAAATCTGAAGGCAAGGAGACAAGCCAAGACCTGCCAAGGCAGCAATGGAGGTGATGGGGCACCGTTAAATATTCCAAGCAGGTAAGTGATTATAAAGGCCTGAACTAAGGCAGAAACGGAGAAATGATCAGGTTTGAGTGATCGTTTGCAGGCAGAATCAACCAATATAACTTATTATTGTTACTGTTAAACGCTAACATTTATGGATCACTTAAAACTCTGTGGGATACAGTGTGTGACGCATGATGCCAACATTATTTCTTGACTTCATGTACTCGCTTGAGGTTTGGGGATTATCCTTAGATTTCAAGGATCCAGGTCTCCTGTCTCATTGTGGAAAACTGAGGTGGCTGTCACTCTAATTGTTCTAACCCTCCCCCGACACACACCAATTCCCCCCTCTCCTCCTCTAAAGAAATCACTTATCTTTAATGCTGTTTTTCCAACACTTTAGGGCATCTCTAGTTACTTGTTACAGGTAATGTTAATTGGTCAAAACATAATTGTTTTTAATTAATGCATTTAAAAAAAGGTTTTTGGTATATGCATTTGGGAAGCTATAGAAAGGGAAGGAGATTCGTCAAGAGAGTTAGAGGTTTCTGACATCAACAAAGCTGTGTCACAACCCCAAATCAGGTGTGAGGTCCTTGTTCTAATCCTCTATGTTTAGAACAACATCCATCTGCAAGAACAACAAAGCAAGGAGGTACTGTTACTGATAAGGTATAAAACCCCTTTCCTAGGCTGTAACTTCTCCCATGCCACTTTGCTTTTCTTTGAACTGGGAATTTCCGTGCCTGTTACACAAAATGCCAGTTGTGGGTCAGTAGACATTACTATGGAAAAAAAGCAAAAGAAAAAAAAGCAGTAAGCTTCTCTGTGGCCTGAAATCACATGATGCAGGTATAATGTTGAAGGTGGAGCTACATGGGTCAGAACAACCCCCACCTGTGAACCTGTGCCCACCAGTCAGGGGAGCCTCGTTTCTATGAGGAGGTAGGGCAGTGACCCTCCATTTGGCACATCACAGAAAGTTGGGGCCTGGGGGAGGAAGTGGCACCCAGTCGGAGGGCATGGAAATGCCTCTGCTCCCAGCCCCCGCACACTCACCTTTGTACTGCAGGGTGTCCTCAGTGTAAGCAAGCATGCTGGGGAAGGTGCTACTGAGGAAAAGGCCCAGACTGGCTGTCCCCACGAACAGGAAGATGACATTGTAGGAGAAAATAAGAAGCACCAAGTACGTCACCACCACGCCGACCTGTCACAGCAGTGATAGACGTGATTAGAAATGGGGAAAAGATGGGCATCCATTGAGAAAGGGAAAACCAGAGTCAGTCAGTCTCCTGACTTGGACAGTTGGGCCCCAGGAGCAGCGCCGTGACCAGTGTGCCACCCTGTGGAGTATGTGGGGATTGCACCTTCCTTAGCCTGGTGTTTGCCAACCAAGCCCTGAGAATATGAGAAAGCCAGGAGGTGAGCCCACCCAACCATCTTCGCAAATGTCTTATCACACACGCCTAAGAAGTGCTTGGTGAGGGCATACTGCCTGTCCCCCAGGTCTTATCTGTAAGCACAGGGAATTCCATTCAAGTCATCAGCTCTCTGCCCTGCTGGAGGATCTGTCAGAGGTCGGAGTCCTCCACTGGTCATAAAGAGGAGCTGCTTCTCTTTCCCTAAAAGCCATGTGTTTGCAGAGGACACCCTAGGGTAGCAGGAGAAATGGGGTGGCAGCTGGGGGGCCCCCAGCTTCTGAGGATCCAGGCAGAGACCTCCCTGGAGAGGGTCAGTGGCTGTGGCAGGCCAGCTTGGCTCCCCCAACCACACACACACCACCTCAAACTCTGCTCAAACTTCACGGGCAGATGATGGGCTAATGGACCAGGAATCTTTCTAGTTCAGTCAGGGTCTCTGTCACATGGGCATATTTTTGTTAAAATAACCCTTTTTCTAAATTATTTTTAAATGTGCTTTTTGGGGCCAGCCGAGTGGCTCAGTTGGTTAAGAGTTGGCTTGGGAGCACGAGCTCTGAGCAGCAGGGCCGCTGGTTTGGATCCCACATGAGGGCCAGTGACGCTGCGCCCTCTACAGCTAAGATGGTGAACAACAGCTCAACCTGGAGCTGGGCTGCTGTGAGTGGCTGGCGATGGTGTAGGCTGCAGTGGGGCTGCAGTGGGCTGCTGTGAGCGACCATGAGAGGCTGGCAGCCAGTGTGAGCGGCCAGCGGCTGGCGAGAACCACCGTGAGCGGCTGTCCAGAAGCCGGCAACTGATCTGGCCTCGCCCGGGAAGAGCGCAATGATGGTGCCAACTTGGGCCAGTGAAGCAACATCCTCCACAACTAGACTGAAGAAC